GACAAACCCATCACAACAATAACGGTTTGACTTTGTAGAACAGCACTTGAGAAATGTTTGAAACACATCACTGAGGAAGTGAAGATGACTTGGCAAGGATGGTAGTGGATTACAATAGTTGAATACAAATAAATGGAGAAATACAGGCAATCACAGCTAGGGTTCCTTTAAAATTCCGCTTCGTTTTTTTCGTTATGTACAGTTAATAACAAGTTGTTCTCTATAAATGGACGTTACAGTTCTTGCACTCAATGGCTATGATTTACGATCTCTTTTTCCGCTGAAAGCAGTGAAGCGTGACTTTCCTCCATGAGGAAACTCTGATCAAGCACACCGTAAACTTACTCGTTTCCTCCCCGAAAATAGGACCCCATCCCAAACTAAGGCCCCCGCCCCACAAAAACCCTTCCGATAGACAGGCTGCAGTCAATCATCGTTTGACCACAGTTAAAGTCTACAAGCTCCCTCCCCTCCCTCCCCTCCCCTCCCTCGCTTCCCGTCCGTTCCCGTCCCTTCCCCCCAACGTCATTTTATAACAATCGATCTTTCTGCGTTTGTAGTTAATTGCGTCGGGTTCTTTTCCACTTTCAGTGAAGGAACAAGAAGAGAAAACACGTTCAAGAATACAGGAATACGAAGATATGCGTTCAATTCGTGGCAAGTTATGGCTCTACCCAAACAGTACCGACCCCCAGATGGAACTTACGGAAAAAATGTACATACGTGACACAGAGAGTGGATGGAAAATCTGTCACGCAGTCTCCTTTATCCTGGAACGTATGGTAACACTTGTCACGTAAATCTTTAAGAAGCTATGTCATTTTTTTGATGTACAGAATTACTTTCACTGTCAAAGAAAAGAAAAACCCTCAAACGATAGATTTTAAGGTAGTAAACTACAGAAATGATAATAAACCCAAAAGACAGACAAACCGGAAAAGACTGTGTAAACTTAAGGTAATGGACTTTATATTTGTAGTAGCATGGTTTGTGCACTGTGTTTCACAGAAATCGGTGACCAGTGATTCTTTATGTATATTTTTGGTACTAGTGTCGGAAAGAATGTAAATAAGCAAAATGGATCTATTCTTGTTGAAGTAACTTCAGGCTCCTAATACAGATAGTTATTTTTAATAGGAAATTATGTTGTCTTGTTTCACCTAGTATTATTGTTGTAAACATGAGAGGTAAAGGTTTCAGAAATTTGTTAAATTGATTGATTGATTTGTTAAATTGTTCAGTTGCTGCTTGCAGACCAAATTTTTAAGTCGCCATAAAGGGAAATAATTTTTTAGTATCATAGTTTACGTATTGAACTAATACCCTCGCCGAAGCGTGTTTGAAAATGACTGGTTGGCATGGTTTAGCACTTTTTCAACATATAATTATCAGTTTTAATAGTGACTCGTGTTTGCCGCGCTTGACAATGGTTGCACGTTTTCCCGCGCTTGGCAATGGTTACACGTTTTCTCGTGCGTAGCAATGGGTGAACGTTTTCCCGCGC